GATGATCAATTATAACTCTTACAATTAAACCTTTGGGAAGGTTGTTTTCAATTATAAAATCATCTGTAGCTGTAAACATTTCTAAAGAACCATTTTCCACCCTATTCTTCCATATGTTAACTTTTTTAGTAAAACTTTCAATTTTATCTTTTAATGTAACTATGTTATAATTTTTTCCTTGAAGCAACATGTTTAAACCATTGAGTTTTTCAAAAATATCCAACAAATAACACAGTTTGGAAAGCCATAAGTCATTTTTTTAAAAATTAAGAAAATTGGATTTCTGCTCAGTCAAAAACACAACTTCACCTTTCAATTTCAATAATGTGTTCAAACTTCACCCTCCTGAGAGTCACTTTACTCAGTGGATAGAGCACCGGTGCTGGATTCAGGAAGACCTGAGTTCAAATCTGGCCTCAGACACATAACACTTACTAGCTGTGTGACCCTGGGCAAGTCACTTAACCCCACTGCCTAGCCAAAGAGAGAGAGAGAGAGAGAGAGAGAGAGAGAGAGAGAGAGAGAGAGAGAGAGAGAGAGAGAGAGGGAGGGAGGGAGGGAGGGAGGGAGGGAGGGAGGGAGGGAGGGAGGGAGGGAGGGAGAGAGAGAGAGAGAGTCACCTTACCTCTGCATGTAGTAATAAGCTTTTGTAATTGGAATCCATGTCTTTCCAAAGGTTTGAAAACAAATGCCTATTAAGGGCAAGGCTTTTAACGAACTTGATGATTTTGATAGTATCATGAAGCACAACATCTAATTCTGGTGATATTTCTTTTGGCCATGAGTGCCTCCCAATGGATCATGCAGTGAGTAAAAGTGATATGTTCCTTGCCACCAGCTTTAACTTTTGCTACAAATCCAATATTCTTGCCCAGCATTGCTCCAGCACCATCTGTACAGACTCCCAACACAATTTTTCCACTGTAAACCTTCATTTGTGAAAAATTCATTGACTCTAAGATATATATCTTGCCCTTTTGTATGCCCTTCCGAAAAGTGACAAACCAATAATTCCTCATGTATGTTACCTTCATAAACATATCTTACCTAAAGTAACAACCGTGCCATGTTAAAAAATATCAGTTGTTTCATCTAACTGAATTGCAAACTTTGGGCTCCCCATAAGCCTGGTAATAAGCTGCTGGAATTGGTCATTACTAACTTCAGAAATTCTTTTGGAAACAGCATCATTCGATAAAGGAATTTTATGAATTTCATTCCCATACGTTCCCCTATGAACTATTTCTGACATTTTAAAAGCAGCAGAAAATCTTCTCCTATCACATAGGGCGTTTTAGTTTTTGCAATTAAACAAGAAGTTTCAGAAGCTGCAAATAAATGCTTTTCATTGACAGTAACAAATTTCTCAAAACATTGTTTTTCTTTATTTGAAGATTTTAAAAGTCATTCAAAATATTCCTTTGGTTTACTGCAGTATGCTGCATACCTGGTATTAAGATATCACTGTAGTTTGGCTGATTTCATGCTCTCCACAAACAAAACTTCATTACAAATTAGCAAAGAGGTTTTTCCACACCATGATCATTATTAGAAGTAAATCCATATTGTAAAATGTGATCTGACATATTTTCTTTTTCTTGTCAACTTAGGTGTACTACAAAAGACTGCCACATTGTCATCAGTATTTTTACCTCTTCTGTCTATATTTAGCCACTTATCCATAACTGAAAAATATTTTGTCCTAAAATATAAATAAATATTGCTAATAATTTCTCAAATAAACACTAGCTTTAGTGTATGAAATTATATTTGTTTGTGCTCAATTTTAAAAATTGATGTTCACACTTAAATACACATACAGTGGTGATGGTAGAGAAATATTATTAAAGGGTTTTTGTCTTTATTTGCTGCAATTAAACAATTATGTTTCTGCAAAAGGAGATAACAGCAGTTTTTAAAATCATACACTGTAACACAATACAATCCAAAGATATACTAATCTCATACATGCTGAGGAATGATGGTAGGAAAATATTAAAACCCTTTATTTTCAATAATTAAACTATTATGTTTCTGTAAGAGCAGAAAACGCTGTATGTACAGTTAAAAAAACACTGCAATTCATAATATACAACATTCTCGTATCTGAGCCAAGGTGTTTCTGGCTGCATTTGTTGGCGCTGCATGGTGTGATGGCATGCTCAGCGTAAAGTGCGCGTGTTGTGTGTTCAGAACCAAGGCTGCAGTAAAGTTGCAAGCACTGCCAGAAACACATTGGATTCATTCCATGTTTGATTTTGAATTCATTTTTGGTCTTTGCACATTCAGAAACCTTTTACTGTTGCCAAATTTTTCTCTACCCCCACGTTCAGTTACATTACCCATATGGGGTTGTGAGCCACAATTTAAGAAGCACTGCCTTAACGCCTGCACTAGAAACTAAGTTCTACTATCAGTTGCATGAGTTCCCCTAGGAGACAGTTACCATTAGGAGGTTGTTTCCATTTTGTGTAGGGGAAAGAAGGAATGAGAACAATTATGTTCCCTGTTTATTTTCCTGTGTGAGTTACTTTGTTAGTCTATCTGAATCAAATATGCTGCTATTCAATTGATGGTTTCTACATCGTCTGTAAATAGAGAGGTTGCCTTGAATAGAAGCTTAAACCAGATTTTCCTTGCTAGTAGCACACAAATATTCACTACTAAACCTGCTGTTTGTAGCATTTTCTCTATTTTCAACAAGGAGGTTGTGTGATTAGATTTGCCCCCACCAGTGGTGCCACCATCACTCCTACTCCAGTGCTCTATTTTTCTGTAACAAAGCTTGCCCCTACTAACATAATCCCTGTATAAGTCCAACAGGAATTTTGATGATCTGGAGCTTTCCACAATTAATAAGTAGTTCTCTACTCATTTAAACAGTTATAGAAAAATTCATTTCAAATAGCTTTATGCAAAAAGCTTATTATAAAATAAGACATTCATGTGTAAAAGAAGGGAAAATGGGGTGGGAAAGGGAAGCATAAAAGAACCATGGCATGACTCTTCCACATATATATTAGCAATTCAAGTACTTTTGCCTAGGGTTTATTTCCTCTCTACCTTTATGCTTTCCTTGACAAGGCAATGCTGCCTAATAGATGAAAGAAACTTTCCTCACTGCATCAAAGGGAAAAAAGTAAGCATTAATACTCTTATGTTAAAACTACCACTCTTACACTCTTACTTTTATGCTATCAAGCAATGCATAATCAGAGATAGATTCAAGACCACTGTTTGGACCCTCAAATTTCATTATGTGTTTTAAACTACACTAAAAATTCATATTAGTTATTGAATGTTCAGTACGTTTAAAAGAGTAACTGAAAATACCTTAAATGAGATTTACAAATACTTAAAACCATTTGGTCTTACAATCTGATAGGAAAAATCAAGTATAAGAATAGTGCATATTGTGTGGACTATGATAAACAGTTGGATGAACAACTCGTTGAGCTTGTTCATCTGTATTTTTATCTTGGACGCTGCACATAGACAATAATCTGAAGCCAGAATTGAATAGGAAAAAAAGAATAGGCTGAATTACATTTGACAAATTGTGTGATGCTTTTACATATTATAAATTTCCCTCAAAACGAAAAGCCCCTCTTTTAATACTAACACTCCTACAGTATGCTATATAGTTGCTAATCATAGAATGTCACAGTCACCGAAGAGTAGAAATTGAGGGCAACAGAGAGATGCCTAAGTTGACTTAAACAGGCTGTAGTGTATGGCAATAATGAATTGCATAAGAGAAGCAATATGTACAATATCATCAAGCAAGCATATGAAGGGAAAGAAACGTGGGTCACTCACATAGTGAAAGAAAGAATAGCAGACGGACAACCCATTTGCCGCACCGTTATCCACAAAATGTTAAAAAGACACAGAGAAAGGCCCCAGTATGTTGGGTGTAGCTAAAGATTTATGAAAAGACATTGTCAAGAGTGGCACACGGACGGCTTGCAACCTGAACTATGGGAGGATATGTCCATATTGAGAACATCACAAATCCACTGGTGTACTAAAAACTCACACACAAGAGTTTTCTAACCATAAATCTCATACCACAGTATTCCTCACTATGTATTCTCCCACAATCTCACTACCATGTTTAAAAACAACTTATGAGCTTGTAGGAGAAAACTACATAATTCTCACACTGCTTAGAATGGAAGTAAACACAGTATTTAACTAAATACTATATAGGAGGTAGCATAACAACGTATATGTAAGTCTATTTACCATCTGCGTGACTTTAGGCAAGTCACTTTATCTGTCCAGACCTCAGTCTCCCCATTTGTAAAATGAAAGAGTTAAGACTAGGTATCCTTTCCACCTCTAAATCCCATGATCCTATTTGTACATAACCATGGGTTTGGGCAGAGGTATACTGATAAATGTCTAACAAATGGCTTTCTGAAGAAAGAAAAAATTCAGGTAGAACAGACTTTTAAGTTTAATCTACATTACTTACATTTTCTCCTTTATTTTCTTAAATCTAAACAATCAACAAAACGATCAAGTCCTGATCTGTAACATTTGCCTATTTCTGTGGTGTAAATGCTTACACTGAAATTTTATCAATTTGCTTGAACTAGTACTAGCTGGTTCCAACATACTCCTGGTTGGTCAGCTCTCTCTCTCTCTCTCTCTCACAAGCAATTTGCCTACGCCTCTACTAGTACATTTTTTACATACATTGCATAAGTATTTCATTCTCAGTTTGACTTTCCAGTTGTTTGAGACAACACAGGTTTTTTTGAAAGCTAGGTTTCCATTTTGATGAAAACAACTATGAAGACCATGTAAACAATTTTTGAAAAAAAATTCTATGGAGTAAAATGGAACATTATTTTTTACATAATGAAATGATCAGAGGAATATATAATTTGTTCAAATCACACTGTTATCTAAAAGGAAAAAAAACTGCTTCCTAGAAAAAATAATGAAATTATATGTTGACAAAGGTTAAATAAAACAAGAAAGATACTTACATTTCTTTGACTTTTCTGCTGACCTAGCACAGGTTTCTTTGAGCAGATTACACAAATGTCTTGTGGCATTGTTCCTAAAAAAAAAAAATCCTTTGTAAAAGTGTGTTCTGGCTAAAAATTTCAATTTCCATCAATAAGAATTTGCTTTTACAGATAAATGTTCACGAAAAATTCTAAACATGTGGAATGTTTGAAGCATACCATATCTTTCACAGATAGAAGCACAAGATAGAGGAGGGAGGCCTATATCTACCTATGAAAAAAGACAACTTTATAACTTACTCCCATGTGTGTTCTCATGTTTTACCAAGCTACAAGATGCCATTTGGCAGCAGAGCCCAGTGCGGGGTCAACCATATCAATGGATCAAAAAGTATTTATTAAATGCTAACATGTGTTCAGTGCTGTGGATAATACAAAAGATTAAAACCTTGTTCCTATCTCAAAGTGTTTACAATTAAATTGGAAAAAGAAGACAAACATAAGAAATAATAGCTCAAAACACAAAATCATATATCATTAAATGCTAAATACTGTATAGACTACAAATATTTTAGGAGTTCAAAGGAAAGATGAACTAGAATAGTCTGGGAAAAACTTCATAGAAGAAATAAAATTTAAGTTAGGTTTTGAAGGACAGAGAAATTTTAATTGAACATGGTAAGAAACCATATTTTTAAAAATTTAAGTTACCATAGGTTTGTACAACAAAAAGTAGTATTTAAGGGAAATTAGTTTGACAAGATGAATTAGAAGCAAGAGAGACTAGAATCAAAGAGGATATCTGAGGAGATTGTTTTAATAATCCATGCAGAGAAAATTAAACACATTTCAAAGAAATAATCAACAAGATTTGATAACTGATTATAATGGGGGATGAAGGAACAGGTTAAGGCAACAAGAGTGATTCTACTGACAGAAACAGGAAAGTTGGAAGAAGAGCTGGAAGAAGAGCTTCACTGAGCACTGGCTCCTGATCTAACATTTTTCTGTGTCATGTTCATAATAAATGTAGAAAAGTATTATGGCCAAGGAGGCTCCTAAGTACGACAGATGCTAAAGAGTTGAAAAAGGAGTATTTTCCTTTCTCCATAGTACTCAGTAGTATAATATTTATGTTAATATTGAAGTTATTACTTACTCTTTCAGTAGTTCTTTATTTTCTTGAATTCCATCCTCTAATTTCAAACTTACTTTCTCATTTTCAAACTAATTTACAAAAAAAATGAATAATTATCTCACATTTTGTTTATTTAAATATACTTAAAGACAATCACCAGATAGATTTTATATGTTTTATACATTATAAGATGCTCTACAATAAACCTTTCCCTCAATAACACAGATTTCCCTTTTTGGCATGCTCTATGGACCTCATCCAGCAATTTCCGTTCTTTCTTTCTTTCTTTTTTTTTTTAGACAATTGGGGTTAAGTGACTTGCCCAGGGTCATACAGCTAGTGAGTGTCAAGTGTTTGGTCTGAGGTCACATTTGAACTCAGGTCCTCCTGACTTCAAGGCTGGTGCTCTATTCACTGCACCACCTAGCTGCCCCCAATTTCCCTTATTTTAAATAAGCTCTTCTGAATCATTTCTACACACAGCATACTGAAATAAGTATTCCCTCTACTTCAACATTTTAATTCTTCTTTATTTTTTCTAAACCTCCAGGAGAGAATTTGTCTTTTAATCTGAGTTGCATTTCTGAAATTTTTCTTTTGTCTTTACATGAATAAATATTTTGAGATCATTTATGAAGATACAGTCAAATAGTTTCATATTTGAAGGTTCAGCTCTGTGTCATATCACCAACATCATGTTGCCAATAATTACTTTATATGACTAAAAAAGGATTCCTGACTTCTTAAAATAGTCCTCTAAAATGTTTAATCATCTGTTCAAAATAATATATATTTTGTTACCTGTGTTTTATTCCGAATAATAAAGTTAGATTAACAACCAAATACACAAAAGCTCAAAATTGTGTTTTCTTCAAAATTCATTCCATGAAACAAATTTACAAATGAAAAAGAGTTTTAATAATACTGAGCAATTTTAGGACTTCTTATCTCTTCTGCTCTAAAAGAGCTTCACAAAGATGAATGTACTTACCGTACAGTAAATTTTAGATTTGGGATAGTCATGATAATAGAATATCAAAATGACAGTATGCCCTGTTTCATTTTACATTTTAGTATAGAATTTTATAGATGCCTACACTTGCTGTATAAGAAAAATTAAAACTCATCAAGGTGAGTTTTAATTAAAACTCACTTTAAACTCCAAAACAAAAAAAAATACTGAGCAATTTTAAACTGAAATCCACTTTGATGTCAGCTGAGTTATATTAAGATTTTAACATATTAATTCTTATTTTTCCAAGTAGTTTCTGCTTATAAATTACATTTGCAAAAGTTTACCAATGTACCTGCAACTCCTGAATGGCTTTTCGCTGTGCTTCAATAATCTTTCTATTTTCCTGTAACTGCTTCTCTTTTTGGTTCAGTTCAAATTCTATATTCACCTTCCACTTCTTAATCTTTTCAGCTTCCTTATACAGTTTTGAATAAATCCTTCTGACTGGCTCTGAAGTCTATTGAAAAAGTTATCGAAAAATTCCACAAATTAGGTATCATTTGCTGAATATTTTTAAAACAAAAATATTAATGGCTCCTAAAAATAATTTATTATTTAATTTTGGTACAAATCTATGGTTCCATCAGTGGAGGGAATTTCCAGTGTGGAAACTCCTTCCACTAATATAAATGGTAGTTCATCTGAGTCAGCCAGATGGTGTAATTAAATGTAGTACTGAACTTGGAGCCAAGAAAACCAAAATTTGAATCCTGCCTCAGATATTTAAGATTTGTGTGACCCTGAGCAAATCATTTAACCTCTTTCAGATTTAGTTATCTCTTCTGTAAAATAGGAATAATAATATAGCACCTATTTCACAGAGTTGTAAGCATCAAGTAAGATCAAGTAAGTACTTAGCAAACTATAAAAAGCACTGTAGCAACATTGTTGTTGTTTAGTAGTTTCAGTTGTGTCCAACTCTTTGTGAACCCTTTTGGGGTTATTTTGGCAAAGATATTGGAGAGGTTTGCCATTTCCTTCTCAAACGCATTTTATAGATGAGGAAACTGAGACAAACAGGGTTAAGGGACTTGCCCAGGGTCACATAGCTAGTAAGTGTCTGAGATCAAATTTGAACTTGTTTTCCTGACGCCATGCCCAGCACTCTATCCACTGCACCACCTAGCTGCAATATTAGTATTATCTATCAATATTAACTATTACTATTTTCTGTAATATAATAATAAAAAGTTGCCTGGGGCCCTGAGAGATTGATTTGCCCATGGCATCACTATGCCACATGATCTCTTCATTACTTAATATTTGAGACAAACTATCTCATCTAACTTATTCTCAGTCATCCTGAGAAGCCATATTAACTCTTTCAAGCTACTATGGTTTTAATTTATTGTTTATATAACTGATTAGTTTATAAAATTAATTTCCAAGCATTTAAGTTTAACTGTAACTACCAATGACTTTTTCCATCATGCTTCAACAATCTGTAGTACAGTTATATCACTTAACCTGCATTGTACCCTACTGGACTGAATGAATTAATATAGGCAGCTCCAAAAGCTACTTAACTCAGAACCTTAAGCCCTGAGGAAATCTGGTTAATCAAAATGCTTAAAGTAAATTAGATACTAAACAGAATATATAATCTTATAGAAAAACTTTTAAAATATGTTAACAGTAAAAACTGGGAGTTGGAGCAAGGAAAAAGGGATGGAACTATTTAAAGCAAATTATAGTATACAGAGCAGCCAGAAGCAACTGTAAGTTGTTAGCTTCATCAAGATTAGAGTTACATTTGGATTTTTTTCACTTTTTTACAGTCTTTTCTTTCCAAAAGTCTATGGTATATGATTGAATCCAAAAAAGGCACACACACCACCTGCTCCTTTTAACTCTGTATATCATATTATAAAGTATCGTTACTTAAGTTTATTCTATACTTCTTATCAAGTCATTGGTCTCCAAAATTTAATTATCATTAATAAAAATCTCACTTTGTTCTAAAATCATATATACTCCAAAAGAACTTTTTTTAAATGACCCACAGGAATAGGCTAATACAATAATCATCCACAAACCAATAAACTTTCCTTGTAAACATTCAGAAGCTTGATTCTTATTCCTTTCCACATCCTGCATTCATCTGTTCTCTTCTATCCTTAGTGATTGAACTAGATAAAAACAAAACTGTTTCTAAACAGTCACTAAACAAGAATTAGATCCATTTGTACCAAAGAAAAAGAAAGAAAACTAAGATATTCAAACAATCCTAAGAGAGAGAAAATCATTTTTTAAAACATCTTATATTAAAACATTAAGGAAATCAATTGTAAATACCATTAATGCTATTATGAGAAGATATTAAAAATAATAAATAACTTTAATTTAACATAGGAACTCCTGACCTCACACTGAGGGTTCTTTAGTTCTTCCAAGAAATTAGAGCGCTCGGTACCAACCTGAAAAGTGAATAAAAATGTCTTCTGTAAGAAGATCAAAGTTGCTAATAGGAGTCAAATAGTAACAACACTAGTTTAAAAGTAACCCAACATCTCAGGAGTTGATTTTCTTATTTGCAAATAAGCAATTCAACAATGATAATAGCATAGTACAGTAACTGACCTCTTCAATCGTGGGCAAAAAATTAATTTTTTGCAGAACTGTATCTGAAAGATAAAATATTATTGGTATTTAAAGAGCTAAATTTCATATCTGTGTTGCACTTAATAACATGAACAGCTATCAGAATAAGAGATGCTCAACATGTTTGTCTTATTCTTCTAACACTTAAAATTAGCTATATTTCTCCCACCTGAATCGATGTTTCCACTATGTTTAGATGGTTTAGTTATTCCAAAAGGCAAACCAAAATCATCTTCAACACTCTTGTTAAAACTCTGAAAATATAGGCAAAACACTCTTAAGTGCACAACAAAGCCTTAATACTTATATAGTATATATTTATATGTATACTTATATAATTATATATTTATATAATACTTATGTACTTATATAAGTATTATATGAATATATAATACTTATATAAGCATATACCATACTTATATAATTTATACTTATATATTAATACTTATATAAATACATAATATATATAAACCAATACTTCAGTGATATGTTTATCAATGTACGGTACTCCATTTAAGATACAGATTACAACTCATGTCTTCACTAGTTTCTATAGCCAAAAATACTTATAACCTAGTGGCCAATCTTCTGGCAGTGAACCTTTTTTAACTTTGCTATCAGAATGTAAACTCCATGAAGGGGTTGTTTTATTTTTGTCTTTGGATCTCCAACACATACCACAGTCATGTCTGCTGAACTGGATTGGCTTACTTAGTTCTCTGATAAGACACAAATGCCATCACTGGGTTTGTACCTGAAGTATTTCCAGCTTGGTATGACCTCCCAGAATTTGTGGTCCACTGAAATAGCTTTAGAAAATACAGTGTCACCTCTACTTTTCAATGAGACATACAGCATTAGTGAAGATCACAAAATATATTTGACAAAAAGAATAAACATTTACATACTTTCATTATAAATCTAATCTTATTGACTTTAATATTTCAAGTTGACTGTGATTTCATTGGTATGGGTATACTGTCCACTGATGAAGATCATAACTTTATAATTTTATGGATGTTCTTCATTAGTTTCTGTGGCTAAAAAAAACTCATTCTATGGACAACCTGGTGATAAGCCTCTCCAAATTTAGCTATGCTGGTCACAATATCCCTACTGCCCAAATCTAGAGCTACATACTTATGAGCATGAATATGAGAAGGGATGAAACCTATAATTTCATTGATATAAGGAAATCCCAGAGGAAAATTTCTCCAGTGTAGATCTACAACTGCTCTGCAACTTATGGTCCTAGAGAAGCGCCCAGAGTACTAAAAGTTTAAGTGACTTGCCCAGGGTTACAGAACTAGTATTCATTAGAAGTAAAATTTTATCCCAGATCTTCCTGATGCTGAGATAGGTCTGTACCAGACCTCAGAATGGAGAATAGAATTTTTACATGTTTAAAATCCAGTAACTACATAGATCTTTTCTTTTCTTTTCTTTTTTCAGAACAGTGGGGTGGTACAGTGGATAGAGTGCTGGGCCTGGAATCTCTAAGACTCATCTTCATGAGTTCAAATCTGGCCTCTGACATTTACTAGCTGTGTGACCCTGGGCAAGTCACTTAACCCAGTTTGCCTCAATTTTCTCATCTGTAAAATGAGCCGAAGAAGGAAATGGTAAGCCTCTCCAGTATTTTTGCCAAGAAAACCCCAAATGGGGTCACATGGACTAAAAAATAACTCAATACCAACAAAGCATATAGATGCTACATACAAAGATTGTAAAGGCTATCATTCAAGAAACGTGTGATCTAGAAAAGCATGTAGGCAGTTATGAACCAACAACAGAAGACAAGCCAAGCTCCTAGGATTTATGGAGGAGATACAGTTCAATCAAAGTAGTAAATCAATTTCTTGTAATGTGTTTAAACTGGTATATCAATAGTGATAAGATTTCCAGGGCTTTATAAGCGGCAATATTTTATTTGATTCATTCAGAAGTTAAACGTATTGTAGTAGCAAATAGAATTTACTAGTTAGTATAAAATCTACATTTATTAAATGTCCAGTATGTATACAGGGCTTCATATAGATAGACAGACAGATAGATAGATAGATAGATAGATAGATAGATAGATAGATAGATAGATAGATAGATAGATAGATAGGTGCTAAGAACATTGGGAGAAATGAATGTTGGATTCACAAAATGTTTTTCCTCATACCAGGATATAGTGTTCAAAGCCTTCCATTCTTAAGGGGGAAAAAAATTTAGGTAAATATCACTACTGAGAACAACACATACTAGATTTCATTATTCTACAGGCAGGAATATAAAATCCATAGTATCGCATTCATATTTACCTTGAAAAAATTAGTGTCTCCTCCTACAGTCTGAGGTTTAACTGCTGACACTTGACTGCTACTTAGTCTTGGTGGTAAAAACAATTTAAATGGCTTTTCCTTTTCCATTTCCTTCTAATCAGAAAACATCAGTTACAATGAAAATGTTGTACTTTGTTTCTGACAATACACAATTTACTCTCCATAAGAAAATAAAGAATGTTTGTGGAATGAATTCCCTCTTAAATTCCCAGGAAAAGAGCCAGGAGTACAGTACAAATGCTCCAGTACTTGCTTGGTAAAGTGAGTTGACTATTTACCAAACACTAAATTGGTAGCTATCTAGCAAATGAAAATATAGCAAAAATCACAGGATCCTAGCCCTTGAAATAGCTAATTTTCTCCTATAGTTTTTGAAATATATCCAAATTTACAAAATGTTTGCTGGTTTGTTGTTTTAAGTGAAAATGTGATCACATGGCGTGAAATTCTTACAAATTCAAACACGTGCCTCCCTCTCTTTCCCCGAAAATTTCAGAGATACAGATAATGCTAAACAACAGATTGTACTTCCAAACAAACTCATCAGAAGTATAGAAGAAAAACTCTGACTTAGCTTTAATTGAGTGGAATTAAGCTTGAGGAAAAATAATCGTAAAATAGGCATTCTACCAAACATCATCTCCCTTGACATGTTTCCAAAGTAGCTTTCGTCGTCTTGGGAGAATCATTGCCTCAAAGTCTAGAATCATAATCCCAAAGAGCTGTGGTCAAATTTTTAAGCATCAACGTTTTGTTCCTGAAGCATCTGATGTGCCTTGGAGCACTGAGCACAGTGCCTGGCACACAGTAGGCGATTAATAAATGTTTATTGCTCGAAGCCCTGGGTGAAGAGGAATTAAGAGCCAGGACTTGCCCAACTTCGGAGGCAAGTCGTTAACAGAAAGGCCTGGGGATCTGGAAATCAGAGCACCCGGGTTAAAATCCCAGCCATAATTCAAATACAAGCCATACCACTTGCTACCTGTGGGATCACGGCGCTGGGCCTCAGTTTCCTCATTTGTAACATGGTAGGGGTTGGCGAGTGCGGTTTAGGCCTAAGATCCTTTCCCTTCCTTAATCTAGTCTTCTACTAAAATCTCCGCACCCAACTCCCTATTATGCCCCTTAGGAAAAAAGAACTTGCGAGGATCAAAGCGAGGGGGAAGGGGGGAGGGGCCAGCGGGAATCTCCCTGTACCACGAGAGGGGTCTGAAGACTTACCGTGGATTTGGTGCCCACTGGTGAGCCCGTCTCGACGTGAGCAATCAGGGGGCAGAAAAAGAACAAAAGGCCGCCGCCGCCTCAACAGCGCTTCAGAAAAGGCGGGAGCGCCTCGAGCCAGGACGACCGTTACACGCTCCCAACTGCCACCGAGTGCGGAGGAGGGGCGGGGTAACCGATAAAACTGACGTAGGGAGCCACGTCTCGCGAGACATGCGAGGAAGGGGTTGGGGGGGAAATTGGTCAGGCCTTGAAGGTCACGTGCTAACTCGGGCAATGCTGGTTGGTTCCCTCCTCACATTCCCTCAGGCTGGAGCTAGACTAGTAGCCTCGTGCTACCCCGAGGAACGTTGTTTAATGATAATAATAGCACTTATATAGCGCTTTATGGTTTGAAAGGCGTGTTGCACATGCGTCACATAAAAAAATTTTATGTCTATGAAAAATGCGACTTTGCATTATGTTCTTCTCTTCATATTGGCTCTTTATCGAAGTTTCACCGCATGTTATTCCTGGGAATGATGATTATCCTTTTCCCACTAATTTTCAGTGTTCGATGTTTATGTATACCCAGTCTTGGCAAGTATTACTACCACAGTAGAACACACTGGTTCCCAAGGCCACAGGCCTCCTAATTTTCTCAAAATTTAACAACACATTTGTAAAAATATCTTGTGCTTTGAGAACAATATTACTTTTGCAAAAGATGTAAAAAGCATACAAAAATATTAGCTATAAGGATTAAAAATAGAATTTGACTACATTTTCCCACTACATGTTAAAATTTTCAAGGAGATGTTTTATAAAGTTTCAATATTTTTACATCATTCACAAAAACTCTCCCAATTGGATTTGTAATAGATCACTTCCTTTACTGAAATGAGTTGGTGTTAATGTACATAGGATAGTACAATAAAAAAGTCAAAATACAGCACAAAAATGTGATCAAAATCTAGCATATTTTGCCACTTTATCAAAAATAGCAAACCCTAAAAATGTATTACAGAGATAAGCTATTATTTTTTAATTAAAAGCTTTGGAGAAGAAAAATAAGGGAAAAATTAAAGTAAATATATCTTTAATGAAAAGGTAAGATGTAAACTAATGAAGGTAGAGGGAGGACAAATGGAATGTCCCTACCACCTATTTCCTCTTTCATCACTTACAAAGTATTGTAATAGGAATATATTTTAAATTGAACAGGTATTATCTTATTCAATTCATCATTAAAAGCTGAACTATATTAATCGTGTTGTGAAATTACTGCCACAAACTCCCTGACAGTACATTATAAGACAGAGTGTTAAAAGGTTATCTCACTAGATGTATTATGAGTGAACCATTTAAACTCTATCAACCCTAGTCTCTTTATCTGTAAAATGAGGATTATAATACCTGTTGTATCTGCTTCACTGGGTTATTGTGAGCATCAAATGAGATCATAGATGTAATATGCTTTGCATACCTGAGAGGTACTATATAATAAATATCAGCTATGAACCTCTCTAAGTCTGTTTTTTCATCTTTAAGATGATGACAAACACATCAATGTGAGCTTTTCTCTAACTACAGCTATTTGTATCAGCTAATCTTTTTTCTTACTCATCTTGTCTAGAATTAAGGACATGTTCACTTGTCAATTTAATGGCAACGGAAAGTGAGAGGCTTCATAGTGAATATTGTAGTCCAGGGCAGTCCTTAACTTCCCTCAGCTGAGCATTAATTCCATAAAAAGAACCAATCAGCAACAGTATTATATAAGGACTTTCTTGCCTCCAGCCAGGATGGTCTTAGATGTCCCTCCACTGATGTTATTAACTGTTCTACAAAATAAGACAAGCACTGAGGCGCTTTTTTTTGCCAAAATATTGGGGTTTTCACACACTAATCCTATTAATGTTAATTCATTCATCCTCTGTGTCAAAATCGTTTTAAATGTTGAAGTACATAAAAAAGGAGAAAGCAGAACCAGGAAAATAATACATAATGACTAAATTAATGTAAATAATAACAAAACTAAAAAACAATCATTGTCATGATCTATCTTGCTCTTGGAAAACAGATAATGAAATACACCTCCTCTTCACTCAGTCAGCCAGTCAAGCAGCCAGGCACCTTGCTAATGATCAGGGATAGACCATCCCTGTCTTTTGCTCAGTGTCATAGGGGAGACAATGTGCAAACAGCTATGTATAAACAGGATATATAAAGGATAAATTGAAGATAATCTCAGAGGGAAAGCACTAAGATTAGGAGGACTGAGAAAGGTTTCTTGTAGAAGGTGAAATTTTATCTGATATTTAAGGAAACCAGGGAAGCTGGAAGGTAGAGATGAGGAAGGAGAAAAGCAGGGGGATTACAGACACAAAATAACAGCCAAAAGTCCAAATTGGCAGTGTCTATTTTCTGTTACAAGGTAGGTTCATGGGGAGAACAGAAGGGGGAAGGAGTGGTTAAAGGGAAATGACTGTACTGTAAAAACACAAGGCACAAAATAAAACATTTTAAAAATAAAATAAATGAACAGTTTATGTTTCAAGAAATTTAAGAAAAAAACAAGGTGATGGTGGAATCTCAGCAATATTAGTAGCTATTCAGTGCATATCCCAAATCTGACAGAGTAAACTATTAAGTTTGGGGTCCTTGGATTTCCAGGTGATCAAAACTTCTGAATGGTTGTGATTCAGTGTTCTGAGCTCAGTAAGTCTTCCTATGAGACGAGCAAAATGTTGAGGATCTTCAGGATGATGTATTTTTGAATATTTATATAAAATTCCCAAAAGTGGTTCCTGTAGTTTTTCCACATGTTGCTTATTTTTAAGCAGTGGACGATCTGAAAAACAATACCATAATTATCTTAATATTTTCTGCTAAAACACAAAGAATAAGAATGAAGTCTAGTCTTTAAAAGAAATTATATTTCTAAGAAATAAGTCACACAATAATTGTGTGTGCAAGTATCTATCCAAAACACAAAATCAGCACAAGATGAGCAAAAAATCTTTGGGTAGTGGAGGGGGAAGTATCTGAACCTGGGGATTCATCTCTATGAAGAACTCCCTCTACTGATGCAGACTGGGGGTTATGTCTTGCCTGTCTATGGTCATACAACTAGTATAGGTCAGAAGCAGAATTTGAATCCATGTCGTCCTGAGTCTAAGACTATTAAGGCACACTGTATCTCTCTTAATGTAATTGCAATCCACCAATTGTATATGCTTCAATTTCCAAGTTAATAAGTATTTGGAATGTATTCTTTACTAATCTTTCATAACTGGGGCAACTATGTAGCACAGTGAATAGAGAACCAGCTCATGAGTCAGGGGTCCTGAGTTCAAATTTGGCCTCAGAAACTTGACATTTACTAGCTGTGTGACCAAGGGCAAGTTACTTAACCCCAATTGCTTCACCAAAAAAAAAAAATCTTTCATAATTGATTTTACCTGAAAAAAACACAGTTGTTGCTGCAAGCAGAGCATACTCAGTTTCAGTAACATTAAGTTCTCCCATGCTTCTGTAGAAGTAAAAGAGTGCAGTAATAAAATCTTCAGTGATGCCTTTAAAAAAGCAAAAATAAAAACATTTCAATAAAAACTCAGCGCTGAATCAGACATTGCAATTGCCATTTACCAAAACAATTCAAGAATAACAGAATCTTAGAATCAGAAGGCACTTCAGAAACCATCTAGTTCACCCCATTCTTGAATAAGAATCCTCTTTACAATATACCTGCATACCTCTTCTGTTTTTGAATAATCAATAGATTTTTATTAAGTGCCTTCTATGTGCCAGGCACTGTGCTAAGCACTATACTAATAACTCCAAGTAGAAGAAAGTTTTTCCTTATATTCTAAATCTTCCTGTTTGCTACTTCTATTAATCATTCCTTTTTCTGCTCTCTATAGCCAAGCAGAACAAGCCTAGCCCCTCTTCTGTATAATCGTACTTCAAATCCTTAAAGGAAGTTACCGAGTCCCCTTGTGTTTTTCTCCTCCCCCCCTTCCTCAAACCAGTATTCCTACAGCATGTTCTCAATCACCATTCTGATTGGCCTCTTCTGCACACGTGCCAGCTTATCAATGGCCTGCCTACGTTATGTCCCACTCAGAAGTGAACACAAAGTGCCAGATGGGAAAAGGACAAGACACCTTGTCCCGTATACGACACCTTTCTTAAGGTAGTGCAGGGCTGCATAAGGCAGCCTAAGATTGGGCTCGCCCTCACCCGAGGTCTTTATGCGAAGGCTGGATGATCCTTTGATAGTACATCATAAAGAGAATTCTTTTTCGGGTGAAGATTGGGGTGCAGGACCTCTAAAGGTCCCTTCAAATTTGATATTTTATGATTCTGTGCATTAGGGTTTTTTTGGTTGCCTTATCATACTGCTGATTCATAAACAGCTTGCAGACCATGAAATCCCAAAGATTTTTTCCCAGATAAACTGTCTTCCATCTAAATCTCCTCCATTTTAAACTTAAATGAAGGGTTTTTTTTGTACCTACATGTAAGATAAAATGTATCCCTATTAAATTTCATCTTAATAGATTTGGCCCACTATTCCAGCCTGTCAAGATGGTTTTGATCATAGGTTATACCTGGTTTTTTTTTTGTTTGTTTGTTTTGTTTTGTTTTTAAGGCAATTGGGGTTAAGTGACTTGCCCAGGGTCACACAGCTAGTAAGTGTCAAGTGTTTGGTCTCTGAGGCCGGATTTGAACTCAGGTCCTCTTGACTTCAGGGCCAGTGATCTATCCACTGTGTCACCTAGCTGCCCCTTGTTTTGATCACAGGATGACAGATCAGGGATTTGGAACTAGAAGGTACTTTAGAAATCATCTAGTCCAACCTTCTTTTACAGATGAAGAAAATGAGGTCCAGAGAGGTCAAGTTACTTGCCCAATGATAGAATGGTAATAAATGGTGGATCTAAGATTTGATCCCTGATTTATTAACTCAAAATCCT